CTTGTAATGTCACAGTACTTTCACCTGGTGTGTGTTGTCCAGCCTGTCTTCCTACCAAAGCTTCATACACACCAATGGCATGAACTTCATAATTTTCATTATCAAGATTTAAACAACTGTATGTTTCTCTTTCATTACCAGATAATGTTGCTGATGCTGCAGATATATCGGAGTTTTTCTTAATGGTACATCCACCCACCAGTGCTATTGGAGAATGTAAGTAATATGTATATGTAATATATGAAGTCTTAACTCCTGAAACAGTACTGTAGAGTCAACTTTACTCAAGTCGTCGTGTCTTAATTTCTCTGTCCACGTATTTTCTGTGTTGTTATCATTTCTAAGGGATTGCTATTCTAGATTCCTTCGTTGAATATAATGCTTAGATTTGACGATTCGCATATGTAAATTCGTCACAGTTTTGTCGTGAACACAATGCGACATAAAAATGTTCACTTACGTAAGCATGTGTACGTATGATAACTAGCTGAGAGACACTGACAGTATCCGTTAATACAGACTGCTTTAGTTGTAGAGGCACCAGGACAGTAACCATGAGAACAGGATATTCGCTCCTCTTGTTCAACAGGTTCAGGAGTGGGTCTGGGATTTTCACCTTTAAAAATAAAATAATAAATACAACAAAATGTACATCAGAATGTCTACGCTGATAACCGCATAATGATAATTTGCATATGACTGATATAATGCTTACCGCCACTACGTCCAGCTCGACACGTGTACAATTCCTGTCGTATTTGGCCAATTTCGCCACTCATTTCAGCTAGTGCACTTTCTAATTCTTCAATTTCAAGTTCTTTTAATCTTATTTCTTCGAGATAATTCTCTAGATGGGAGAACAAAAGAAGAGATTTTACAAGTCAGAATATACTTAACGACACTGGTGTGGTCTACTATACCACAGTCCCTCTATCACCGGTCTGGAAACGCCTATTGTTTTACGTGTGAATCGGCGGGATTAGTGGGCTAACGCTTGTAACGGCTCTCCGCGAAGCGCGGTACTATACTGTTGATAGCTTCGAGATACATCGCGTTCAGTGCTGTGATCTATTTTTTAACGTTTCCAGAACATATTCGATACCGTATACAAATATTTTTACCATAGTTGATTCGTAACGTCTTTGTTTTTAAGGAGAGTAAGTTTCGTTGTATACAATATGTTGATGCTCGACGTTTTCTTGTGTGAAATTATGCCTTTTTCACCTTTTGTAATAGAGGGACTGTGCCGTGACTTGTAAACTGACTCGTTTTTTCTGTTCCTCTCATTAAGGTACATTCTTGACAACATGACAACATTTGTGTTTTTGGTAGATTTGAAATACGTTTAGCACAATGGTCATGTTGAATATACGATTTTGATGATTGTTCGTTAAAAAAATGACACTTATTTAAGAAGTAAACTGCGTCGTTAAAAGCAAAATGGCCGCTCCCAGTTACGATGTTGTACACATTTTACTTTGGTAATTTTTTTTTCTAGTTATTTTGTTTTTCAGGCATATTAATTGCAACAACTATGTATATCGGCAACACAATCA